ATATATATATATATATATACGTTAAGAAAAAACATACTTTACATGATTGCATTAAAACACTGGACAGTTGCCTTCTACTGGACTCGTAAATTGATTACTTGGCTTTTTTTCCCATGAATCAGGTCACTTGAGATCCTGTATAATAGTTTTTAAATCTAACATTTCTTACTTAACAGAAAATGTTGGATTTACTCATTGTGACTAGTACTACCCACATGACTGGTCATCATTCTCATTCATTATAGAGGAGACTATAACTTCTGGAGATCATCTGTTCTATAAGTAAAGGCCACTGCTGTCAATTGACCTTCTTGCACAATTTGTGGCATTACAGCAATATCCTCAATGGACAGAGCAGGTATTATCTGTAGTGAATAACAAAGGAACAAATGCAGCTAGGACAAAGCCAACTTAACAGTTTGGTGGACCAGATGTTGTACAAAAAATGCATAGATTCAAAATAAACAAAAAAAAATTAAAAATTTTTACATTAAAATAAGAATGTAGAAAATGAATGGTATGCTTGCATAACCACAAAAGTATGAATAAAATGTCATATCTTGAATATGTTATGGCACATTTTTAGTGAGAAACATTCTATACAAGCAAAAGTACCCGTCCCCAGTGATGGAAAAAGTTTAAGTTAATCTAACAAAAGTCTCCATCCCAATTTAAATTATTTCATGAACTTTAAAAAGATTAAATGGTTTCAATCACACCCAAGGCTCAGAGCTTCTTATACCACCCACTGTTAAAAGTAATTATTGAGCGTTTCAGTCATGCTAAGAGCCCCGAGTCAATAACGTATGGTAAATCTACATGTTTATTCTTTTACATCACATTTTGAAATTTTAATGATAGTATGATTGATTCCTAACAATTTAGAGGAGAATATCCTGCTTGTGAAATAAAATTTGACATCAACGTTATTCATGCCTGTTCTCCCGTCATTTGAAAAGTGAATGTTGAGCTTTCCTGGTGTGAATATCCTGCTTGTGAAATAAAATTTGACATCAACGTTATTCATGCCTGTTCTCCTGTCATTTCAAAAGTGAATGTTGAGCTTTCCTGGTGTGCACAGCTTTCAAATGCAGCGCAGGAAGCGCCCATCATAAATGGGAGACAGGCGAAAATGTTTGGACAGACACCACAGTTCACAATATCTGTATAAGATATTAAAATGACTAGTGAATTAATACAAAATTAATCATATACAGACTATATTAAGAACATACGTGTTGTAAAGTTGAGACATTTATAATACAGGTATTTTAGTATTCCAAAAAATTAACTTTTTTTTATTTAGAAAAAATAAAATTTGAAAAGACATATGAGTAAGAATGGGTAAATAAATTTTTCAGGATTTAAGCATTATTCAAAATTTGCCACATAATAACGTAACTCCAGCATGGAAATTGAGGTAGGATGTATAGCTGTTTAAGCTTTGATGTTGAGATCTCTACCTTCTTCCTTCATTAGGTGTTGCTGGAGGTCTGACGAACTTGTCAAAAATGCCAGCATGTAATGTACTGTTATTAGGAGCTCAGAAAAAGACGCTTTCTGGATTCTCGACTACTGCTATTATGCCTCACACTGGTTTTATTTATTTCTCCAGCATTGTACAGAACACACCAACTGTAAGTTTATTTTTTTAAATCCCAATTCTCTGCTTTAATCTTCCATAAAACTATTATATATACATGTGTGTTAGAACTAAAACTTTGTGTTTTCTTTTGTACTTAAAACTATTACTTATCAAGAACATTGACAAATATCTGTAGTCTTAAAGATTAATAATTACTTTGATTTTATGATAAAGATTAAGGGGCATTGGAAAGTTTTGAGGTTTATTTTTCCAGCTTTTAAGAAAAATCTGTATTGATTACCATTGTAATGAAGAAGAGTTCTTATTTGAAACATATTATCTCCATATTTTCACCCATTTGACCTCAAGGAATAGAATTGTAAAATTATGTTCTTGTGTTTAACAAAAGAAGTTAGCAAGAGAACGTACATCGACATACAGAAGTTGTAAGGCCGATACTTGGCTGGTATTAAAGTGACGATCTTTGAATCATTATAAGTTGGCAAAATGTTTTTTTTATTATTTAAACCCATAGCTTTTTAGCTAAGAAAGATGCTATATCTTATTTAACCATAATATGAAAGTATTAAAACATCTTTATTGTAGTGAATATATATAAAAGAAAAAAAATTAAAAACTAAAAAGGGCCTTGATGCGAAAAACTCCTGGTCTTTCAACAATACATTCACACTCGGTTTCTTGACCTTACAGGATCTTCGGCGAAAAGCCGCTCGCCTCGTGGCAGCAAAGTGTACCCTGGCAGCCCGAGTGGACAGTTTCCATGAATACATTGATGGCAGAATTGGGAACAACCTACGAGAGGAGATAGAGAGAGCACTAGATAAACTACAGGAACCGCCACCAGTGAAGCAAGTGAAACCTCTTCCAGCTCCCATTGATCAAGCCAAGAAGAAGAGAGGTGGTCGAAGGTACAAAAATTTAGCATTTTAATAACTATGTATTTATTGCATAGGTTTTTTTTCAAGGAGGAATAATACTTTTCTGTCATTAAGCTAACACTAATAAATGAGACTTTTGTGTATATATATATACAGCAACTAATAAAAATAACCTTGTAAACATTATAAATATGTATCACAAAATTATAAAATATTTTTCTGCCATCAAAGCTCATAGGAAATATTTAGTAGTCTTAAACTTACCTCGATATTCTTTCTCTCCCATCACATTTCGGAGTTGGTAAAACAAATGGTGAACACTAATTTATGTGCTGGAGTGAATACTAATAACATTAAGTATTATTTGTATTTGAATTATCTTGTACTGTTTAAGAGAATAAAACAGAATAAAAAAAATATACTCGCAATTAATTTTTGGGTAATACTTCAGCTTTCGATACATAGATATTAAATAAATCATTGATTCATGTTGAACTACTTATGTATTTAAGATGTTTTAGTGCCTTTTCTTTCTTTATGCTATCATAAACACGACTTGTTGACTTGCCAGTTTTATTTCTTAGAACACTTGCTTCTGTTAATTTCTCTTAAATTGTAAGTATGACGACATTTTTTAAGATATCGGTTTTTTTTTATTACATTTATTATCAGCTTACAATGGATGTTTTTTTTATATTTTGTAATAAGGTTGCTTTATGATAAAATGGAAACAAAAAACTTAGTGCATTTATTTAAGTTAAGGTAATTTGAGATGATGTAAAAAATGGAACATTAGTCTTTGTATTTTAGTACTTTTATAAAAACCTAACTGACTTTCAGGGTGAGAAAAATGAAAGAAAGATATGCCATCACAGAATTGAGGAAGCAAGCCAACAGAATGAACTTTGGAGAGGTTAGTTCAGAATTCTTTCATATCTTTCAATATAATAAGATGAAGTGGTTCAGAAAACTGTACATCATAGAATCTTATCCATTGATGGCTATAAAATACTTCGATAAGTGTGTGGTTGAGTCGTTAGTATGTTGGAATGTAGGTCAAAGGTCTGGTGTTTGAGACCTGATGCTCTTGTACGTGTCTTCCACTTTTATCTGTGCTGTGGGCATTTTATAGAAGTCACTGTCTGTCCTATGTTTGTCTCAAACAAAATCCAAACAAAGTCACTGTTATAGTGGGTACTGCTGACTTACTACCTTCCCTCTGGTGGTCAGTAGTTAAAAACTACCTGAACCCAAAAGGAACTCTAACTTGGCTGTTACAAAAGGTGCATTCAAGTTGAACATCCAGTTCTACTAAGTCCTGTTTAGGGTTTTTATAATTGATAGAAAATGTTATCATTACTATTTCCCAGAAACAATACCTATTTTCTTTAAGTGCTACAACTTTTTGAACTATTATTGTATTTTTTTTAGTGATTACTTAATTGACTACTTGTCATTAGTTGGAAAGGGGTTAAATTTCAAATCTTAATTAGCTCCTTTTTCCTTTTGCCAAGTATTAGAAAGTTGCCCCCAAAAATAGTTTCTTAGTAAGTAATTAAAATTTGTTAACAAATCTCGTTATCTGTAGTTGAATTCGTAGATGGTTTTTACCCATTCAAAAAGAATATTCACGTGGGAAAGGATTAAACCTGTTTTGATCAATTTTGTTGTTGTTATTAGAGGATTTTCTACTTGCCCAGAAAAGGCAATCAGTTGGGAAAGAAGTACACTTGTCATAATTAACCTGTTTACTTCTGGTTGTGTTCTTAAAAAAAATACAAGGAGCTTAAAGAGTATTCCGTTTTGTTTTTATTATCTTTCTCACTTTTGGTTGGGTCCTTTTTATTTGTTCAATGAACACCATCAGTTAAAAAAGAATTAACCTCTAAGTCTTACAATTATTCTTTTTTTTTTTTTCTATGGGTTTTGAGTATGTTTTTAATTTAGGTTTGTGAATAAGGTTATGACATTCCTTCGAGATAGCCAGTTATACAATTTTACTTCCCCAAATGGAACCATTTCTAGGGAAAAGATAAAAAAAAATGATTACAACCTTATTTATATCTGTTTTTTATTATTTATTTTTGTTTTGTGTTTTCATACCTTGTTTGAGATTGAGATTTGTTTCCTTATTTCTAGTATACTATATTAATAGTTATATAGATTCAGGCTTTTTCTTAATTGATGATTTGTATATTAAGGGTTTAAATAATGGTGTCTAAGTCACTGCCCTGGACTGTATTGTCATTACTACAAAATTTCCAACAAGACGTTTTTTTATTACATGTTTAACGTGGGAAAGAATGAAAATACAAAGTTAGCTTTTTATGATGATAAAAAAATAAAACCTCCTGAAGTGGACGGTAAAAGAAAAATACAGAATTTTAGCGTCAGCTTCATATCTCCTGAAGAGTGTTTTTTGTAAGCTGGTCATAACTACTGGATTACTGTTCTAACGTAGACCAAAAACAACATTAGTTATAGTCATTCGGTCAGTCATCGTTGCAACGTCGAAACATGTAGAGTTGTCAACTTTTTGAAGGCCATAGATAGGCCTAAATAAAATGTTTAATCGTGTACCAGTTTTAACATTGAATATTATTTTAACTTTATATACAAGTGGCAAAATACAATAATTATTCATGATTTTAATTATTTGGCAGTTTTAAAACAATAAGAAAGTACAAAAAAAACTACAGTAATCATTTGTGGTGTTGATGACACTTCTGAACCAAGTATTAATATTACAAACAGCAGTAATGAAAAGGCAGCAGTAAGTTTATAAACTTACACCACTAAAATCTGAGGTTTGATTCCCTGTGGCGGACACAACACGGGAATATAGACACTTGGAGATATTAAAAGAATCATTTATTATCATATAAACGAATATTTTTTTATACAGCTACAATGTTTCACCAGGTCAACCAGGCATCATCAGGTACATTGAACTCTTAATCTAGGAAACACGAAAAACTAGGGGATGAACACATTGGTTCAGCTTAACAATTACTAGCTGGTTATTCTTAGACATAAGTTATGTTATACCCTGTTGAACAAGAATCAATAATGTTTGAAGTGGTTACTATTATATACAGTAAATGTAACATACTAATTGGGTCAGGAATTTGTAGTATATCTGTATGTTTGCTGGTGGCATGAGTGTTATTGGTAGATGTGCTTGACCTCAAGTATTTCTCTTATACTGTTAGCATGAGTGTTATTGGTAGATGTGCTTGACCTCAAGTATTTCTCTTATACTGTTAGCATGAGTGTTATTGGTAGATGTGCTTGACCTCAAGTATTTCTCTTATACTGTTAGAGTATTTCCTTTAATTATTTGGAAATATTAATCTTAGTTTTTAGTCAAAGGAAATAAATCACATTTGTGTAACAATCAGTTGTATCAGAAATGTTTGTGCACTCGTGTGTGTATGTTTGCACACACACCAGGGATAGGCAACTTTCTTGAGATAGTATAGGGACACAGAATCAACTAAGAAAGTTTGATAGGCCATATGTTTATCTTAATATGTTTTATGTTTATCTTAATGGGACATTCTGTTATGGTTATATAAAGTCCAGAAAATTTTTGAATTAACAAAAACTTATAAATATGCATTTAACAGTTGTGATCGTATAACAAAATTACCCGAACTAAAGTTTGGGACCTTCTCACAAATAACTACGTTGATAAAAGATAAATTAATATATTAAATTCATTCTTTTAAAATTTTTAAGTCGATGTAACTGAGCATATTCTTGCCTGAGATATAAAATATTCTGTTAATTGAACATTCATTATTATTCACTTTTCAAATGTTTGATATTATAAGTTGATCATTGAACAACAAACTGACAAGTAAAGGGAAAAAAATAGTGGGTTTTGCTATTATTATTTTAAAATCTTCTTTAGGAACTAACTCACCTTAAAAGTGTGTGTAGCTTATTTTTTTGGTAGATTTTTCTGGCTTACAGGGTATTGAACTTGACTCATTTTAACAGTTTATTAGGCTAACAGCTACCTTTTTATTTTTTATAATATATATATATATATATATATATATATATATATATATA